AAAGTACAAAGCCTAAGTTTGGTAGGGAAAGATATACAGTTAGGATAAGGTGTACAACAATTGCAAAGTCTATGCTAGGTAGAATTATGTCATAGTTGGGACATAAAATGCACAAAGTGCAGGGTTTGAGTTAGTATGAATGTTACACATTCAGAATATAATGTACACAAAATACATAGTCTAAGTTAGATAAAATTATGACATATTTAGGGTATAATGTACTAAAAGTACAGTATCTAAGTTAGGTAAAATTATGACATATTTAGGATATAATGTACTAAAAGTACAGTGTCTAAGTTAGGTAAATTAATGACATATTTAGGGTATAATGTACTAATAGTACATTGTCTAAGTTAGGTAAAATTATGACATATTTAGGATATAATGTACTAAAAGTACAATGTCTAAGTTAGGTAAAATTATGACATAGATAGGATATAATGTACTAAAAGTACAGTGTCTAATTTAGGTAGTAATGTTACAAATTGGGATATAATGTACAAAAAGTACAATGTCTTGTTAGGTAGTTATGGTACACAGTTAGGTAGTTATGGCATACAGTTATGATATAATGATACAAAAAATATAAAGGCCATGCATGGTAAGTTACACTGTTATAATATAATAGTATAGAAAGTACAAGTATTATAATTATAATGTATATATTTAGGATGTACAGTTATAAACATTACAAAGACTATGTTAGGTATGGCCACAGTTATAATAAGATGGTATTCAAAGTACAATGTTTATATTGGTAGTGCACACTGTTATGATAACATGTTATATAACTAATGTTACTGTAAACCAGTTGGTATTTAAAAAATGTCCTCCATAAAAAAGAAACTATACACTCTTTGAAAAGTAATAAGTTTCAAATCTTTGTACATTTTCTTGTTAGCCCAGGTAATAGGTTGTGTATACGGCGTTGCAATAAAGATACCGTTGTTACTGGTAGGATTATACATAAACAGTAAAAAGTTGTGGAAATATTTACAACCAGATAATTTATTGCTTTCTTTGCCTGTATAACATATGATTCCATGGTTGGTAACACCAATAAATTTACAGATAATCACTTTATCAGAATTGCAGAAATCCAGGCAATATTTTTTGTTCAAAATATCTTGCTTTTCGAAATAAGGTATATCACTATGGTTAAAGTAGCACACAGAAGGTTGGTTATTGGAAGAAACGAGATCTTGATATACTTTATCCAAGATATTGGACATTCTGTAATAACATAAACACAAAAAGTAGTGATTTTAAATGGTATTTAAGTAAATTAAAATTAATTAAAAACTGTATTACAAGTATTAATTTGTAAGGTAAAGGAAGTAAATAAAACTAATTGTAAAATGGACAAATTAGATATTTAGTATACCCGAAAATATTTAACTACATGAAACTCTATGAACAAAGAGATGAGATATAATAAGTAAAGAATTAAAATTATAACTTACATACAAAGTACTTTATATCTTAACTGTATCATTTATAAATAACGGCCTAATTTACTGTGTAATTTTCGTTTAGTCATTAGGATTTCCTTGAGCTTTTTTCCAATAGTATAAATAAAATTAAATTAAAATGTGTGAAATTGTGATGTGTGTTATGGTTCTGTATTGTCGAATGTAAATGCACCTAGTAAACGTATTCTTAATAAGAGATAATCTTTCTTCATGCCGAAACACAACATTACTCTAAAGGTGAGACCCTATTTACAGTTACTCAGTATGACATCTTCAACTCTTCGTACCATTGCATCATCGTCATCTCATTGTTCAGCCATCGCGCCAAAGTCATCCTACTACATAGCTATCGTATTGCGTTATTGTCATCGTGCCATCGCTCTATCGTCATCGCATTGTCACACTATCTATCAAAAACCTCGACGGCTCGGTGATGGGATATTAAATACTTATCCACTGTGAGTGAAATATCTCTTTTTATTAAACCCGCGATAGGGAACTGCAGTTAAAGAATAATATGTTGCGCACTACTAATTTTAGTGTCTAAGCCTAGGAAGGCTTAAATTTTCTGTGCAATGTAATTGTGTAATGTATTTAAATTATTGATGTAATTTTATAATTGTAATAAGTTCTCTTATTCGATGTTGTTATGTGAAAGATTCAGTTTTGTCTGAAAATATGATTGATTGATTGTATATTGTATACTTCAGATCCCTTAATATACGCTTGGAGTTAATTATCGAGTAATGTCGAAAAGGCACCACACGCGAAATAAAATAATTCCTTTATTTCTATAGCGCTGAAATCTATGTAAAATCTTTTGAGCAATCGTCCATTTGCGAATTATTATTCGCGATTTGACGTTGAAAAGCCCATTTGTGATAAAAAAAAGTATCCGCGAAAAATGAGGAATCTACAATAACGTCCCTTTCAAGAATTTTTCACTCATATGTAGACTCCACCACTTGCCGGTGGAGAGCTATAAATTTTGTCCTATATTCGGCACTCAGGGCCAGTGAGCAGGGTGAGATATTTTTGGTGCCAGTGCCTACTGCAGCACGCAATCACAGTCTATACGGGCTCATTCGAAGGACCGGTGCTCATGTCCCACGGTGGAAAATTGGAATAGTGAAAAAAGAACAGTCAGCCTTATTCTCTGAACTAAATCTGTCTTTAATTGTTTTTTTAATATTGAAATCTTCTTTCTCCTGACAGTAGATTGCTTAAAATCATGATTGCTAAGGAAGACAAATTTATTGCTGAGTACAAAGCCTTTCTTGCTTAAAATTTAATTTCACCCCGAATTATGAATTTTGAGTTAAATACGCCTTGAAATCCCCGGTTCCATTAACTGAAGATATTCATTTTTATTTAACTGTGATTTGGATAGTCTGGACACTTTTAAAGATAGAATGGACGACAGTGACTACAACATGTATGACGTGTGCGAGTAAGCAAACAACCGGATGTTTTACCGGTGTCTCTATTTTTGTTTTCATCTTCATATCTTCATAGATTGTAGCTAAAAATCCAAGTTTTATCAAGGAAAGTGTTCATTCACTCACTTCCTTGTAAAAATGGGCATTCTGCATGAATTTTCGATATAATTATGTTATCCAATTTTAATTCATCTTAATCAGAAAATTTCGCTGTCATAAAATACTGAAAAAATTGTCTTAAATGTATGATTCATTGATTCATTGACATTTTGATCCAGATTGCTATCATTCTCATGTGTTGATCAAAAATCATCATCTCATGTGCCTTCAATTTTGTTGTGATCTCCATTTCTTGTCATTTTGTCATTTAGGAAAAATTACCATTTATATGCCTTTTATATTTTGATTATGTATAATATATAATTGTCTATGTTGACATAACTAATGGCTTTTTCGAAATGTAGCTATCAGATGTTTCTTGTCATTCCTTTTATAGAAAGCTTTTGGTCCGTGTGTGAAAATTTATGTGGTCGGTATACTACCGAGATAAATTGAAATAATTTTGTTCGAATGTACTTGCAAAATCAAATTGATAAAAATTAAACAAATAGAAAAAACAAATAAAACACATTTATTTAAGTATATATTTTAAATACAATATAAATATTACAAGTTAAATTGCTACAAAACATCAAATCCACCGATAACCACAATAAGCATGTTAATAAATAACTTCACATATTAAAGCTTCATTGACAACGATAAGATATTTCAGTAACGGACACAAAAAGCATATAAAAAGAAATTATAAAAAAAGTAGGTGTTATCAGATCACTTTTCAAAATGATTCATCGATATAAAAATCAGTGAAAAATTGTAAGAATGCAAGACGTTAGATCGGCGGATGATAAAAAAAATAATACTTCCACGTACATGTAGGTGATGATACCATGAATTTCTATCGAATGACCTTTCAGCTATGACCTGAAAACGTAGGTCCTGTGTCACGGTAGGCGCTGGCACGATAAAGAACCCTCACTGCTCAATTGCCCTGAGTGCCGAGTATAGGTCTAAATATGAAGCCCTTCACCGGCATACGGTGAAGTCTCCATATGAGTGAAAAATTCTCAAGAGGGACGTTAAACAATATACAATCAATCTATCGAATGATAAAGCTTATTTTGCACAACATGCTGCACATGGTGAAGATGGACACAAATGTAAATGCAAAGTAAAGAAAAGAATATCCTTATATCAATTAACTCGTCAACAATTTCAAAACAAATGTTTATAATTAAGGAGGCTGGGGGTCAATAAATTAATCACAAATTAACAACCAGATTTAACTTATATTTTAAGATATGGTATCTTAAGCTGTCAACTATCATTTGGCAAAGAAAAAATTCATATATTTTAGTTTTAAAATTTGATCATTTTTTATATATTTATATGGAGCTCTTCTTTTAAAGGAGATCGAAATAGTCTGAAAATGGCTGCCACCCCCCAGCCTCGTTAACATTATCAACTTTATATTTTTAATCATCATTTTCAACTGTTTTATGCTCACTCCTCCATGGCACATAATCCCACCTCTGATGTTTCGGGGGTCCGTGTTTGCTCTGCTCTTATTTTGTATTGTTTTATGAACTTTGAGATTGAATACTGTTCGTTATCTCCATATCCTTCTTTATTGGAATCCGGATCATCTTACAATTGAGTATTATATCTTATACAATCCAATCATGGGGAATAATTTTTGAAAACACAATTCACATTTAATAAGGTCATAAATAATGAATACTCTTATAAGAAAATGAAAACAAAATTGATATATAAATCAACATTGAAGACTATGCTTAAAATAAGTTTTAAAACACTTTGATAATATTTTTAGGTATGTTAATTAAGGAATGACTCTAATTCTTGGCCAAATTATTCAGTATAACATGGTTTGGGTCAGTTTACGCTTATAATCAACGACGCAGATTAAGCTGGTTGTCAAGGGGTGTGTCCCCATACCAAACCAGATTACACAGAATAATTTGCGTTCTTTTTTGAAAATCAACCAATGAGCGACTACAATTCAAACAAAATTAAATCATTAATTCACCGAGCTTATAAAAATAACGTGTCATTTCTCTATGTACAATTTATAACGCAATCACTAGAAAGCGGTCGTTGTTGTTGCTCAAAATAAGAAAACTACTCAACCCAAAGTCCTGGTTATACGAAACACTTATTCACAAGAAGAGAGTTAATAAATATCATCTTTAACATATTTTATCACTGCTTGATTTCAACAGAACTGCATCAACATGTATGTATATTCAATATTCTTTGGCACAATTCGGTAACATCTGCCAGAGGCTGAACAGTGCCAAGCTTAAGCTCACTTAAATATTTCCTTAGGAAATCAGGGACTAGGAACGTCTGTAAAATACCAGTAAATAAAAGTTAACGAATGGCAAAATTTCAACAATAAAAATATATAATATCTGCATATTTGTACAAACTAGATAATTATTTGCATGATAATTTATGTCTTTTTAAGTTTGCAAAATCGACTATTTAGTTACTCTAAATTTGGATTACCTGATACAGATTATTGATCAAAAAATCATCAAATACGTCTTCCTATGAAAAAGGCAAAAAAGATGACACAGAAATAACAACTAAACATTCATCGATATTTCTAAAAAAGTAGTATTTCGTTCTACCTCCAAGAAACTTTTGTCCTGATCATTCAGGACTGTGTGGACTGGACTGCTTTGACAATCTAATGAATTCTCGTTGGAGGATTGATTTTTGTCGGAATCCGATGTAATCGTTGGTGATTGTTCCGCGTTGTTGTTCCTTTGCACATCATTTGTAAGTTGTTCAGCTGTAGTTTTCTCCAAATGAATATTCTCAATCATGTTATCACTTTTTTGTTTAGAAATGTAAACGTTATTCTGTATTTAATATAAGATATGAAGCATAAATTATAAAGAATTAGTACGCAATAGACGAAATAAAGGTAATGAACAGTGAAAGATCTCAGAAAGTCATATAAACAATGCAAAGTTAGGCTTGGGCATAAATGTACATGTATTTTCTTGATAATGGTACTGCGAATATCATACAAACCCTTGGTACTTTTGAATTATTTAACAACTGATCTCCATCCGGTAATCTTCTTTTCATCTATAGAATTTACGAAAAACATATTTACATATTTAATGTTTCTTGAATTTTCTGAAATGTATCTTATGGCGTTAACTATTCTTTAAGAATATTTTTTTTTCTTTTACGCTCATATGTCCGATATTAAGCAGATAATTGAGGATTTAGATGTGTTCAGTTAAGAAAATAATGACCTGCATCTGGTTTGGAGTTCTCACTTTTTCACTTAGTTTGTTTTCCGTCAAGAAGTGCGTTCTTGGGAACTGTTGGTTGTCATCACCTTTGGACTTTGTTTTTTCAAAAATAAATGTATTGTTTTGTACATGCTCAAACAAGTCTGGATTCTGTTGCAAGTGCTCTGCTGTTCCTTTGTTGCTTTTGAAATCTTCTGTGTCTTTGACTGCGTGTGTCACATCTGTATCAGGGTTAGGGCGGGCAAAACTTTGCCTTTGACGAGCATTTTCTTCCCATTGTATAACATGACTTTCTGATTTATCACTTTCTTTAATGGAAGGTACACGCAACATGCTGTCTGTTTTGTCAGATACGACATTTTGTTGAAGAACTGCTCTTTCAATCGTAGCGCTTTTTGATGAAGAAGAGAAAAGAGTCTTTTTATCGTCATTTGTAAAAAATGAAAAGGCAGTAACACGGGTCGGTTCAAGTATCCCACAGGTATCCTGAATAAAAGAAACTAAATTAAAATAAATGAACTTGAAGGTTTTTTAAAAATTATTTTCAATATTTAAAAGATAAAATAATTTTTTCAAAGATTTACAGCCTTTTTGCGAGCATGTTCTTTATTATGATATGCTTTTCTTGTCTTTATTGTTTCACTTTATAACACAAAGGATGCTATTTAAACATTAATCATAATATCTCTTGTGAATATTGAAAGGTGTCAATAACCTTCCATCTCTTCAAAACATTTTCAAAAGCTTCAAGCGAATCTGTTAAGGATTTTCCATTAATGCTCGCATGTAATATGATTGCTGGAACAAAGTCCGTTTCCAGCATCCAACTCTCTAATGCGTTTTTGCTCTCTTCGTTGTTGTTTTCCTTTAGATTTTGGTAATGTTTCAGCAAATTATCCCATCCAGGTGGTAAAGGGTTCCATTTCTCCTTGAATAGCATAATTAATTTATCGAAAATCTCTTCCCCTCCTTTGTTTAGATTTGATATGTTTTTGAACTCTAGGTCCCATTTCCATCCTGGAGGACCCTGGCTGTAGAGTGATTTAGGAATCTTTGTTTGACTTTTTTCATAGATTAATTTCACAATAAGTGTCTGGGTGCTTCTCTGAAATTTTCGTATAACTTCAGATCTGGCCAGTCTTTTAATTACTGGCCCAGGATTCAGTTCCACATCACCACACGTCCATAACACAAGTAACACCGCTTTATCCGACCAAAGTAATACATGTGTTTTTCTGCGTCCAGAGGAAACGCAAAGAGAGAGTAAGTGTGCAGCTACTGCAAGAAATATTACACGGCATATGTCATAAGTTTTTAGTTAGAGAGTAGTATGTATTAGCAACGTTTCTAAAAGGTCAAAATATTGTCCCAAGGTATATAGAATTTGATATGCCATGTCTTTTACTGACCTAGTAGAATTGTTAGGAATAACAGCAAAAGCTTTTCTCCAGCTGAAAAATAAAACAACAAAACTATTTAGTAAGAAGAAGAGATCAAATAATGAACACAGAAACATAATCAAAAATATGAAAAAGAGAAGAAACAATAAGATTCAAATCATTGCTGACATTTTAAATAAATGAAGTAAGTTGGAAAAAATAAAAGTATCAATAGATGAAGAAGACACCCAACTACATAAACAAGTGGTCCATGGGCCTTATATGTCACCTGAGCATCATGTAACAACTTTCAAATGATTGAATTTTGTTCATGTTTTAAGCTAGATGCTATGGCATTCACAATTCTGAAAGAGGCACCATTGCTTATCATAACGATACACTTAGCATACACTCAGCAATTGCTTAGTTTGTTAACTTAATATCCATAGGCAGGGTAGGGGAACAAAAAATCCATTTCAACTAATCAGTAATATTCATCTAAATCAGAAATGCCCCTTCCACACATCAACCCCTGACCCTAGTCCACACATTGCACAGTTTTTGAAAAGGCACATGCTTAGCAAAAATGTTTAATTAATATCAAGGAGAAAATTTCAAACAATTCATTTTCAGTATATAAGTAGAGCCTCCTCACTCCCTGGTATTCCTGACTCAGGGGCCTTGAAATTCACAATGCTTGAAGAAGAGTCTTTGCACATCATAACTATATAGATAGTTCATCTGCTTATCAAGCAAGAGCAGAGAAAAAGATTTTCAAAAATGTAATCTATTTTTACTATATAATCAATAGCGTCCAGCCCTAACACCAGAACCCCCTACAATGGGACCATGAATTTCCCAATTTTTGTAAAAACATTCTTCCTCATCATAACTATTTACTTATTTGGTTCATTTAATAACCAGGAGCAGAGAAGAAGATTTTCAAAGAATAAATGCATTTTGCATTATATAATCAAATGAATACAGTCCCGCCTTAATACTAGAGCCTCTGACCCTGGGGCAATAAAATTCACAATTTTGGTAGAAACACTCTTGCTCATTTTAAGTATGTTCTTAGTTTATTTAATACCAAGGAGCATAGAAGATTTTCAAAGAATTAATGCATTTTCACTATATAATCAATATAGCCCCCCCCAGCACTAGAACCCCTGACCCTGGGGCCATAAAATTCACAATTTTGGTAGAGGCACTCTTGCTTATCATAACGATGTACCAAGTTTATCTAATAACCAGGAGCAGAGAACAAAATTTTTAAAGAATTAATGAATTTTCACTATATATTCAATACAGCCCCGCCCTAACACCAGAACCACTGACCCTTGGGCCATAAATTTCTCAATTTTGGTAGAAACACTCTCGTTCATCATAACTATGTACTTAGTTTATTTAATACCCAGGAGCAGAGAAGAAGATTAACTAAGATATATAATGATGTTCAATGAATAATCAATATAGCCCCGCCCTAGCACTAGAACTCATGACCCTGGGGTCATGAATTTCACAATTTTGATAGAGGACTCGATGTTGATTACAATCATACCAACAGTTTGACTGCCTGATATCCAGGGGTTAAGAAAATTTTCAAAGATTGCACAAATTTCAGTGGTTTTGGTCCCACCTCTAGGCCCCAGGGAACAGGAACCATGAAATTCACAATTTTTGTATCCCTTTACCCAAAGATGCTGTATAAATTTGGTTGAAATTGGCCTAAAGTTTTTAGAGAAGAAGCTGAAAATGTTCAAAAGTTTACGACCGATTGACGGCAAACGACGTACGACGACGGACAAAAACTGATAGCCATAGGTAACCTGAGTGATTCAGGCTTTACTGCTATGCTCAATATATATTGGACATTTGAGTTTGCAAAGATTTTGCACAAAAATAGATATCAATGTCATTGATCTGAGCAGAAAAGTCTGAATGACAAATTTCGATGGAATTTATGATCTACAGTTTTCTTTCTGAATTGTTTCCTTTCAAACAGGTTTATGCACATAAAATCTCAGATTTCTGATACATTTATCGGAAGCATTTAGATTTAGTCACTTTGCAAGGGACATGTATTACTTAAAAATACTTTGCTTCATTACAGGTGTTATAATTGACTTTAGTCAAGTATAGTAAATATTTAATATTTATGTTTGAAAAAATTCACACAATGTGTCCTTTTCATACAAAATGAACTACAATTACTATGAAACATGAGCTTTATCATCTTTTGAAACATTACTGAGTTTTTCCTCAATAATAGCGAATGGTTAAAGGTATGTTGTGACAAGTGTGCAATGAGAGAAAAAAAGTTGCTTGAAAGTTTGAGAGAGGGATGGCTTGTGTTATGTTTGAGAGCTTGTGTGGGTTTGAATTGAAACCTGTATGCATCGAAGGTTGATGAATCATTCACGTCGATTGAACATATATGTTGTGTATCAAACATACCTTGCCTTATCTTTATTGCATACTACAATAAAAAAAGAAAAAAAATCGTGAGAATAAATGGTAAAATGAATGAGCAAGTCGTGCCTTTTACGATTGATTAAATTAGGTTACTATAATTAAATATAAAATTTACTTTGATACTTTGATTTACTATGAAATTTTACTTTCGAATTTTATTAAAAATTTGTGTTTATTTCAATTAGGATCTAAAATATAATAAGATACGTATATCGTTTTGAAATTCATTATTGATATACTTGATTTACTAATGTGAAAACTTTGATTTACATAGTAAAGTATAGTAAGCCATAGTAAACTATAGCTAACTATAGTAAACTATTTTCGATAGTACTTTTCGATTAGGAGTTATTTCTTTTTAGCAATATTTAGAAAATATGTGAAACAATTAGGTTTTTTCTAAGGACATCAAAATTAGATATTGACACTGAATATATGTAAGAAAGCAAAATGCAGTAACTCAGACTATCACATTTCAACATATAAAACTTTTTATCAGGAAAATCTGTAAATGTAGATTCCATCATGTTCGAAAAAGATTCAAGATGTTGCAACACAAGTAAAAGTTAATATTAACTTCTCCCACCTCAATCCCCATAAACCAAAACTCAAACTTGTATCTTTAGAGCAACCCAACCCTTCGGGCTGCAATAATAAATTTGTATTCTGAAGTGTTCTTTTTAAAAAAAAAAAAAAAAAGAATTGTTGTTCTTTCTGGCGCTGCCTGTTCTTTACGCATCACAGTTAAGGTAACAAATGGAAATATCAACGATTTTTTACGATAAAAATACATACTTTATTAGAATGGATAATTCCTTTTAGGACTTCACTGATATCAAAAAATTGTTATGTGGTTTAAATCTACATATTGGGGACATCTAGATTTTTTTTATTTAGACTTGTCACATGATTTTAGTAATTATACATACAGTTTAGAGGTCATCCATACAAGGGCATAACCAAGTTAAAAATTGTAGTTTAATTTGCAATACTTTTCAACTCTAAAATGTAGCTTGTGAAAAGTGCTGCGAATCTATATACCAGTAGATTCCCTTTTTTAATTGGAAAAAATTAATTTGTTGGGCGGCAGGTTGACTATTTTGCTGGTTAACTACATTAAATATAGCTATAATAAATTCATTAGCAAGATTTCATGAGGTTCGCAGCACTTTTCAAATATCTTAAGGATTCTTGAGTTTATGTGTAAAACTTTACAAGATACATTGAGGGTATTTCCTTGCAATAAATCGATTTATTAGGGCCCTTCAATGACTTTTTCAATGAATCTGCATACAAACACACGACAGTATCACTTGTCTGGAGAATGTACGGACAGTTGATCAATAAAATACTAAAATAGACATCGCATCCAAGTTAACGGCCTTTTATTTAATTGCAAATGATATTTTTTTGAAAACAAAAGAAATTTTTCAATGTACACAATGTGACTTGATCAGCTTCTCAGTGTGTACAAACTTCGTCATTTTTGCGAGATGACGTCACATTGACAATTGCAAAGCGATCGATCAATCATTTACATACTGTTGTATGGGATTTAACAAATGATAAAACTGCATGTAATAGTATACAGCTATCCAACTGTTTGAAATAGCAAATGATTTCATTTTCTGATATTTCAAAGACCTTATATCATGTGTGACGTCATAGTAAACATTTCCCGTACAAATCAGGACCCGCCTCCTTACTTTAACCTTAACTGTGCTGCGTATATGGCAACCGCCAGATAATACATACGCAGCACAGTTAAGGTTACAAATGGAAATATCGGCGATTTTTAAGATAAAAAATACATACTTTATTAGGACGGGCGAATCTTTTTAGGAATTCACTGATATCAAAAAAAATTAATGTGGTTAAATTCTACATGTTGGGGACATTTAGATTTTTTATTTAGACTTGTCATTTGATGTCGACGTCACATGACTTTGGCAATTAAACTCGTAGTTTAGAGGTCATCTATAAATTTCAATATTGCAAGGGCATAACCAAGCTAAATATCTTAGATTATTTTATAATCATTTTTAACACTATATGTAGTTTGTGAAAAGTGCTGCGAACCTATATAGATTCCCTTTTTTAATTGGTAAAATTTAATTTGTTGGACGGCAAGTTGAATATTTTGCTGGTCAACTACATTAAATATAGTTATAAATAATTTATTTGCAAGATTTCAAGAGGTTCACAGCACTTTTCAAATAACTTAATGCTTCCTGAGTTTATGTGTAAAATTTTGACAAGATACATCGAGGTTATGCACTTGCAATAAATCGATTTATTAGGGCCCTTCCGTTACTTTTTCAATGAATCTGCATACAAAGTTACAAACACACGACAGTGTCGCTTGTCTGATAAATGCACGTACAATTTATGAATAAAATACTAAAATAAACATCGCATCCAAGTAAATGGCTTTCTATTTTACCGCAAATAATATTTCATTTGAGAACAAAAGACATTTTTCATTGTAAAAAATGTGACTTGATCAGTCTCTGACTGTGTAAAAATTGCGTCATTTTTGCGAGATGACGTCACATTGACAAGTGCATTGCGATCGATCCTTCGTTTATATACTGTTGTGTGGGACTTAACAAACGACAAAACTGCATGTAATAGTAAGTTTGTATGTAGTATACAGCTATCCAGCTGTTGCAATAGCAAATAATTTCATTTTGTGGTATTTTGAAGATCTGATATTATGCGTGACGTCATAGTAAACATTTCCCGTACAAATTAGACCCCGCCTCTTTACTGTAACCTAAACTGTGCTGCGTATTTTTACCTGCAACCTACCGTTCTAACATTCTTATTCTAAAACATGTCATTCTTATTCGATACAATGTGATTTCTATTTGATTAGTCCTATTCAATAATTTGTAATTTGCATTCGATAAATTGCTATCCTGATTGGAAGAAATATAGCAATAGGAGGAAATATGGTAATATGATTCCTATATCACAATATATATATTTTTTTTCGAAAACACACGTTTCCTATTCGATGTCCGACATATTTGAAAACATGCGATTCCTATTCGCTAATTTTGTCATTCCTATCCGCTAATTAAAGTCTTCCTTTTCAGACGGAAGACTCTATAGTGATTCCACTGTTTCTTTTTTGTATCATTATTTTTTCCCCTTTCCTTGTCAGGCGGATTTCTCAGAGATGGATGGACGGATTTTCTTGAAATTTTTACGGATGATAGAGAATAAAATTACGCTTAGAGGGTTTTTTTTCTAATTCTTTCAAAATTCACTTCCGTTCGTAAGATATGTCCGATTTCTGTCTTTTTCAAAAATATTTTGTTATAGTCATACCTCGGAAACGGTTAGAGATGTAGACACCTAACTTATATGAGTAATAAATCTTGATAAGTAGGCGAGCCCATTTGGGTTAAGATTGTCCAGCGTCACTTCAAAGGAAATGATATAAGAAATCGAAAATTTCAACTTTTCTCTTATGACACTCTTTTTTCATCACATTATACGAGGGTTGTGCCATAAAATCGTAGACAAGTCGTCTTGTGTGAAAAAATAACATCACTGCCTTCTGAAATTTTCACTACTATTTAGTACATATTTTAGTGATATACACATCAAATTTCAGATAGATTTATGCATAAACTAGAGGTACTGTGAGCAATGAGCTCACTAAATGATACCCCCCGCCTCCCATATGGTTATAACTGATGACAAAGTCCATGGTTTGCCATGGCCGGGAAACCCAAAATATGTGTCAGATCAAAAAGTAAAATAGGAGGTGCACAATGGCAATATGTTATAAAGATTCTGTGAAAGTTTCATTAAATTTCACTCAGTGGTATAAGAGGAGTTGCGGATAAGAGATAGGTACCCTAAAGCGTAACAGACGGACGGACGGACAGACGTACAGACGGACGGACGGACAGACGGACGGACGGACGGAATTAACGATTACTATATACCCTCCCGCTTTTCAAGCGGGGGGTATAATAAACAAGTTATGAGATTTTATGCCATGTATTGTATCACCTTACGACGCATTGATTATAACGTCAAAGTTTCTAAAACAGCGTCACGTTTTATCTTTGCTGAAAATAAAGTTGGATAAGTCCGACTTAAATTTTATTGATACACATTCTGTTGTCTCCATAAACAGCCGAAGAACCAACTGGTACCCTCATACGATTTTCAAAAGATTTATTAGTAAGTTACGGACAATATTCTCACCATCATTCAACTAATATAAAATCTCATATCGGCGGTCTACTGTGACAGCGTCTTTTGCTATTACATTAGGAGTTTGTCCGTATGTTTTGTACTCCCCGGGGACTCGATAAAAAAAATCGCTTAGAAAACTCCTATTTCATTTGTATACTTAAGATATGTGATATTTTTTAAAATCTTTTTTTTCTTCTATGGTCATTATAAGTCTCTAAAGGTGTCATTACAACATCGAAATAAAACTGGACTGTTCTCCGGTGCGCCGTAACGTCATAAAACGTCGCCATTTTTCGTGTCTTGTGTTTACCACTTTCCCATTTCGAATGCCCGAGAAACTGCCAAAAATGTAACAAATGCCTTAATATTTTTACAAAGACCACAACATTGATTGTGGAATTGAATAAGGATAATTTTAATCCAAATCTTATGTATTTAAAACTTTTATTTGGAATTAAAACTTGTGTATTTCTTTAATAAAACCTTGGTTTTTGACTGTGCTCCGTAGGACAATACCCCGTGCACATTCAAGCATAATAAAACCTTTATTTTTGCTTATATTTTATTAAAAAAATTATCATGCACTTAAATATGATAAATAAACATTTACTGAAATTTTCAGCTTATTGCACCACTTACTTTTCGAGAAAAACGCTTTATCTACGATTTTACGGGACAACCCTCGTAGTATCTAAATTGTTATTTCGAAATATATCAGTCCAACCGGAAACAAAAACGGCAACTTCTGGTTAAAAGAGAAAAACTACATAATTTGAGTATTTATCTTTTCCATAAACATCTTTTATAGATAAAAGTATTTTTTATGAATTTTGGATATGTTATTTAAACTCTAATGTTTACAATAACGTCAAATATCTTTGCAAAATTTACTTCCGGTCGCGTGATTTCCCTACTCAAAAGGAGAAGTTTTCATAGCTAGATCTCATAAACGGTAAGAGATGAAGACACCAAACTTATAGGAATGCTAGATCTTGATGAGTATGTAAAACCAGTGGGAATAATATTGTCTGCCATCACTTCCGGTCGTCACAGGAAGTGATAAAACAAATCTAAAATGTCAAATTCTCTTTGATGAATCTTTTTTGCATCACATTATAGCATCTTATTTGTAGTTTCAAAATGTATCAGTCCCACGGGAAAAAAACAACTTCCGGTTATTAGAGAAGAACTACATAATTTAAGTATTTATCTTTCCCATAAATACTTTTTATAGATAAAGTATTTCTAATAATTTTTGGATATGTTATTCAGACTACATTTGTATACAGTAACGTCGAATATCTTTTTAAAATTCACTTCCGGTCGCGTGATTTGCTGTCCTCAAAATGAGAATTTATCATAGCTAGATCTCTTAAACGCAAGAGATTAACACACCAAACTTATAGGAGTAGTAGATCATGATGAATAGGCAAATCCATTTGGGTTAACATCTTTCGTCGACACTTCCGGTTGTCACAGGAAGTGATCAAAAAAATTAAAAATTTAAACTTTCTTTGGAATCTTTCTTAGTAATACATTATAGCATCTTATTTGTAGTTTTGAAATATGTCAGTCCAACTGGAAACAAAAACGACAACTTCCGGTCATGAGAGAAAAACTGTAAAATTTAGTATCATACTATCCCATTAATATTTTTTATAAAAAGAGTATTTGAAAAGGTTCATGTTTTTTACAGACTGAGAGTCTAGAGTAAACTAAAACATCTTTCTAAAAATTTACTTCCGGTCACGTGATTTCTTGTCCTCAAAATGAGAAGTCTCTTGAAATGTAACAGATTAAGACACTTAACTTATATGAATTATAAACCATGAAGATCGGGCAACAGATATAGGACAAAATGTGTCAACCGTCACAGGAAGTGATAAAAAAATTAAAAATGATTTTTGTAAATGTTATTAAGGCTATACTTGTCTTAAGAAACGTCGATAATCTAGGTAAGTTACACTTCAAAGTCCTTAAAAGAATACAAAATAAGAGCTGAGGAAAAACAGACCTCCGAAACATCAGAGTTTGGATCAGATGCCATGGAGGAGTGAGCATCCCCTGCTGATCGGTCACACCCGCCGTGTGCTTTTTGTCAAATCTAGACCCAACCTCTTTCTGTTTCCTTCACTGTAATGTATTTACTTAACAGTTTCTTTGAATTAGACAATTTTTTTTGTAAGTAACCTATGTGAAAACGATTTGCATTGAGTTTGAATAGCTCGTATGCAATGCAATCTGAATTTTTAATCCAAGAAATCGATCTTAGAAAAGTAAATCATTATTTATTATATCAAATAATAATAATAATAATGAATTTAGAAAAATAATCTTTTTCTTGTTTCTTAAACTACATTTAAGAGAAACTTACCACAATCCTTGATTTTTCAAACTCCCCAAACTAAAAATGAAATAATTAAAATACATAGAGCTAGGTCTATCATTATGAAGCTAATACAGTCATATACTAAGTGGAATTTAAAACGTGTCTTCTAAAGTAGATTCACTAACATGCTTTTCAAATTCATATTGTATTGAACGATTTGCTGACATTGTCTCGTATCAAATGTTACGCTTCATTAGTGTTCATTTTCCTACCCTTTTCCAGCAAGAAGAATTTCAAGTCACAAAAATATATTTTCGATGATGAAGGATATGAAGATAACGAACAGTATTCACTATCAAAGTCTTAAAAACATTACAAAATAGGAGCAGAGCAAACGCGGACATCTAAAACATCAGAGGTGGAATCAGGTGCCATGGAGGATAAATTGCATCCCCTTCCGACCGGTCACACCCGCCATTTTCTCTTTGTCATGATCAGGAAATACATAAGGAACACATAGTTTACGAAACTAACAATGCAAATGGCGGTCAAGGTTATCTATTTGTACGCAGATAAATATGAAGGTAATCAATCACTGTGCATTATGCACTGCAACTTAACTGTTTAAATTTATTGTGAAATATATTTTTTTTATGAATTTAGGAATTTAATTATACAGAGCATATTATTAAAAATGCAATATCGGTAATTTAATTTCTGAGTTATTGTGAAGTGGTTTGTTTTATCGGTCTTAGACTACACCAACACCCAAGCTGTCAAACCAATTAACCTGTCACAGATACCCGACATCAAAATGAGCTTGGGATTAATTAAGATTCCCCAAGTTTGAAGGTGTTAATTAATAGCCACTGGCGAGAGTGTGTGAAGTCACGACGCTAAGTGTGTTCAGTAGACCGAAAAATTCACTGCACTTCGAGATAAGACAGGTAAACAAGAGGCCCATGGGCCACATCGCTCACCTGAGAAACTTTGACCATTCTGTTCTTTACCAGATTTCACCTTTGTTATACATAATGCATCCCCACCCTACCCCTATGATCATAATTTAGACATTTTGAAATCTACACTACCCCATGATCCTTCCATGGGCACATATGTTTCAGCTTTTTTGGCCCAGTGGTTCCTGAGAAGAAGATTTTCAAAGATATTTCCTATACATTTCTAAGTAAAACTTTGATTCCCTATAATGGCCCTGCCCTTCCCCCGGGGGTCATGATTCCTACAATTTAGAATTTACACTACCCCAGAATACTTCCACATAAGCTTCACTTTTTCTGGCCCAGTGGTTCTTGAGAAGAAAATTTTCAAAGATTTTTCCTATATATTTCTATATAAAACTTTGATTCCCCATTGTGGCCCCGCCCTTCCCCCTGGGGTCATTATTTGAACAATTTAGAATCTACACTATACCACGATGCTTCCACATAAGTTTCAGCTTTTCTGCCCCAGTGGTTCTTGAGATGAAGATTTTTCCTATATATTTCTATGTAAAACTTTGATACCCCATTGTGGCCCCACCCTTCCCCTGGGGGTAATGATTTGAACAATTTAGAATCTACACTATACCAGGATGCTTCCACATAAGTTTCAGCTTTTCTGGCCCAGTGGTTCTTGAGAAGAAGATTTTCAAAGATTTTTCCTATATATTTCTATATAAAACTTTGATTCCCCATTGTGACCCCACCCATCCCCCGGGGGTCATGATTTGAACAATTTAGAATCTACACTATACCAGAATGCTTCCATATAAGTTTCAGCTTTTCTGGCCCAGTGGTTCTTGAGAAGAAGATTTTCAAAGATTTTTCCTATATATTTCTATGTAAAACTTTGATACCCCATTGTGGCCCCGCCCTTCCCCTGGGGGTCATGATTTGAACAATTTAGAATCTACACTATACCAGGATGCTTCCACATAAGTTTCAGCTTTTCTGGCCCAGTGGTTCTTGAGAAGAAGATTTTCAAAGATTTTTCCTATATATTTCTATATAAAACTTTGATTCCCCATTGTGGCCCCACCCATCCCCCGGGGGTCACGATTTGAACAATTTAGAATCTACACTACCCCAGGATGCTTTAACATAAGTTTCAGCTTTTCTGGCCCAGTGGTTCTTGAGAAGAAGATATTCAAAGATTTTTCCTACATATTTCTATGTAAAACTTTGATACCCCATTGTGGCCCCGCCCTTCCCCCGGGGGTCATGATTTGAACAATTTAGAATCTACACTATACCAGAATGCTTCCATATAAGTTTCAGCTTTTCTGGCCCAGTGGTTCTTGAGAAGAAGATTTTCAATGATTTTTCCTATATATTTCTATATAAAACTTTGATTCCCCATTGTGGCCCCGCCCTTCCCCTGGGGGTAATGATTTGAACAATTTAGAATCTACACTACCCCAGAATGCTTCCACATAAGTTTCAGCTTTTCTGGCCCAGTGATTCTTGAGAAGAAGATTTTCAAAAATTTCCCTATGTATTTCTATGTAAAACTTCGATTCCCCATTGTGGCCCCGCCCTTCCCCCGGGGGTCATGATTTGAACAATTTAGAATCTACACTACCCCAGGATGCTTCCACATAAGTTTCAGCTTTTCTGGCCCAGTGGTTCTTGAGAAGAAGATTTTTTAATGACCCCACCCTATTTTTGTCTTTTCTTGATTATCTCCCCTTGCGAGGGGATATGTCCCTTCATTTTAACAATTTAAATTCCCCTTTACCCAAGGATGCTTTGTACCAAGTTTGGTCAAAATTGGCCCAGTGGTTCTTGAGAAGAAGTCGAAAATGTGAAAAGTTTACAGATGGACAGCTAGACAGACGGACGGACGACAGACAAAATGTGATTAGAAAAGCTCACTTGAGCCTTCGGCTCAGGTGAGCTAAAAAGGGCTTGGGACTTTGAATATACTTCGACATAAGCGGGGTATTCGAGATTACCGTGTTCGAGATATCAAGTGTTTTTTTTTTACATCATATATAGAGAGAAAGCGACCGGGACCGGCGATCGACTTCGACATAAGCGGGGTATTCGAGATATCCCATGTTCGAGATACTGATATTTTCATGTAACAGAAAAATCTGTCGTCAATTCAGTGTATAAATAATTAACTAACAATTAGTATGAAAAACATTAGTCAGCATTTTACTCAATGATAAATTGTAATTGCTGACAAGGTCATTGTATGTATCGACCATAGAACGTACGAAATGATGCCTTTAAATGAGGCTGCTGATATTCTTGTTTCATTATCTTGTTTGTCAATAATTTACCTCGTTTATCAATTGTTCAGTTCATACGTAGAGCAAGCTCTTGCTAGATAATGACTTTCAACGATACTACAATAAGTGTTTCAGCAACTAGTTTGTCAATAACTTACGTTGTTTTAAAATTGTTTATACGTAGAGCATGCTCTAGCGCATCGAATCGATTAAGAGATAGAAACCCCGCATGCTGAACCTAGGTAATGAAGGTAAGTGGCTTTATAAGTAAGGTGGTTGACGTTTGAAAAGTTAAATTAATTTTGTATGTTAAAGCTCGGTCGTTAGATTACTATTAACGGCAGTTGATAGTTAGATTTTTAAAAAAGGTTTTTATAAAAGGTCAATTGACAATTTTCCTTCCGAATATTCTTAAATTTTACATTTACATTTTACAGATACTTTCCCGATTGTGAACGTCCCTTCTCATAAAATAAAAATAAAATGCAAAGATTTTATCTATTTCGAAACTAATGACAAGTGTAATTGAAAAAGATATTTACCCGATTGAGAGCTTCCCTTCTCTGAAAATAAAAATAAAAATAAATTCTGGGAAAATTACAAGAAAAGCTTAGATAATTGTCAGGATATTCTATATTGGTGGGACTTAACTAAATATAAGATAAAAACATTGTGTATTGAGATGTCAAAAAAATTCAACGTTAATAAACAGAAACTAGAAAAATTAGAAAAAAGAATTAGAAGAGATTAAAAACAAACCTACAACTAATAAAAAGTATCAAAATGCGTTGAGCAAAAAATAAAAGAAATTTATATAGATAAGACAGAAGCGGCAATAATACGATCAAAATGTAGATGGTTTAAAGACGGAGAAGCTCCTTCGAAATATTTCTTTCAATTAGAAAAGAGTAATGGAGAGAAAAAATTGTGGAATAGAATAAAAACAGAAAATGGTACCTATAAAACTGACATTGATTCAATCATCGAAGAGTAAATTAACTTCTATTACAGATTATTGAATACGGAAGGATGGGATAGCGAAAATGGGGAATTATTATTAGCGGAAGTGCACTGTAAATTAGACGATTATGAAGTAAACATGCTCGAAAGTGATATAAATGATAAAGAAATATATCAAGCAGTGATGTCATTAAAACCAAATAAATCTCCCGGTGAAGATGGGATTTTATCAACTTTTTATCAGATATACTGGGATATAATTAAAACTGAATTTTCGAAAGTTCTAAAGCACATTTTTCATAGGGCCACACTATGTGACTCGCAAACAAAAGGAGTCATTTCATTAATACATAACATACATAAAGGGAATGAAAGAGAAGATATAAAAAATTGGAGACCTTTAACAATGCTTAACAATGATTTTAAAATTATTGCTAAAATACTCGCCGAGAGATTAAAAAAAGTACTACCAAAATTAATTCATCCAGACCAAAAAGGATTTGTCAAGGGTAGAAATATAAGTGACGCAAACAGACTGATTCAAGATATCATTGATTATGCTGATAATGAAGATTTGGAAGGGACTATTATATTTCTAGATCAACAAAAAGCGTTTGATAGAATTGAATGGGGTTGGATTGAAGCAACATTAAAAGGATTTAACTTTGGTAAAAAATATTACGATTGGATAAAAATGCTACTTATTAAATCAAAGACATGCATTAAAACTAATGGTTTTGTATCAAAATACTTTTCAATATCGAGATCGGCAAGACAAGGTTGTCCTATTGCTCCACTGCTTTATGTTCTCCAAATAGAGCCTATGGCCTGCGCAATTAGGCAAAATCCGCAGGTAAAGGGCATCTTAATTCCAAATAAACATCAACACATAGAATGCAAAATAAATATGTTCGCAGACGATACTCAGCTATTCAATAAGGACGAAGAATCTATAATAAATTCCTTCAATGTGTTAGAAATATATGAAAAAGCCTCAGGGGCAAAAATCAATTTCTCAAAAACAAAGGGTCTGTTTATTGGCAAATCAAAAGATAAAACACCAAAATTTAAAAAGATACAGTGGATAAAAACTAATATAAAAACTTTGGGGGTATATCATGGATATGGTATTGATACTAATGCAATTTGGTTAGAAAAAATAGAAAAAATAATGAACAGCTTGCATGTCTGGAAAACTAGGAACCTTACATAAAAAGGGAAAACTTTGATAATAAAAAAATTAATAATTCCAATTATTGGTTATGAAATCGAAATGAGGGGAATACCGGATATATATGCAAAAGAAATAAATGATATTGTTATACCCTTATAAATATCATTCTATATATTTATTACTAATAAAAAGTCCAACAAAAGAACTGTTTATTACATCGGTCTAACAATTTCACTATTGACCGGTCTTACATAAGAATTGTTAGACCGCAACGTCACTCGTCTGTTACGTCACAAGTAATTAATCATTGTTCAATATCAGCGACCCGCAAATAGCCGAACTTAAGAGCTACAAGAGTTGTTGCTAACAGCAAGGTAACGAAGAAGCGAAGAGTATGTTTTGTGATAAATATTTTTTGTGATACAATAGATATATAATTGATTTTGTTCTTTCTCAGCTTGATGGTTTATATTTACTGAAGAAGCCATAATTTTCCATATACGAGAAATAATTGATAATATAGCGTGTATTGATTAAATTGATCAATCTTAAGTGAGCAGTGAAGGGTATAACAAAACAGTTATAGACTGGGATTCGGGCAACATATGATTTGTTGGACCTGAAGGTGAAAATGTTGCCCTTGGCCTGCGGCCTCGGGCAACATTTTCACCTTCAGGTCCAACAAATCATATGTTGCCCTCATACCCAGTCAATAACTGTATATTGTCTGGTCTTTTATTTGGGATAATAAATTGAATAAAATTGACAGAAATGTATGCTGCTTAAGCAAGAATGAAGGAGGGATGAACATGATAAATATCTTTAACTTTATAAAAAGTAAACAAATAAAAACAATTTATAAAATCATGCATTCAAAGTTAGAAACATGGAATGCTATTGGTAAATACTGGTTACAGAGTAAAGATATACATTTAAGTCAGGAATATTTCTTATGCACTTGTTCAGATCTATCTCCAGTTTCCTTAAATAACATGTCTAGTTTTTATAAAAAAAAGCACTCATCGCATATAGCGAATTTCGTTCAAAATTCGAGCCAGAGAACCGAGAGGAAATACTCAACCTCTCATTATTTTGGTAATAAACTTATACAATTCCGAGGGAAAAGTCTATATGTTGAATCATTTATTAAAAGCGGTTTATTAAAAATTAAAGACATTTGGAATGAAGCGGAAATTAGTTTTAAATATAATGACACTATTTTAAAAAAAAATATTAGACAAAAGATGTTGGATATTTGAATATAGTAAAATAAAGTCAGCTATTCTTAAACTATTTTATCCAATACTGAAAAGAAATAACTCAATATCTAATAGCGAAACAAAACTCCCTTATAAATTGAATAATAATTTACTCATAAAAAGAGATACTGATAAAGTGGTAACATATGAACATATTAAGTTAAAGAACATAGAAAAAATATTAAACAAGATAATAGTTCCAAAATGTCAAGAAAAATGGGAAAATATGTATCAAAATAACATACAGTGGAACTTAGTTTGGGACAGTATTTCAAAACTGAAAGTTAAAAATAAAATTCAAGAATTCCAATGGAAATGCGTGCATAATATTTTGTACACCGAAGATAAATTATGTAAAATCGGACTATATCCAACGGTTTATGCAACTTGTGTAAAAATCATAAAGAAAATCAACAACATCTCTTTTACCATTGCACAAAGGTGAAACAACACTCAAATTACTAGAAGATATAATTAAAAATGTGCTACAAATAAATGGAACTTTACAAATTGACCAACAAACAATAATATTAGGATACTTGAAGGAACCGCAAACCCAAAGAACCGTTGTTAACATCTTAATATGTATCTTTAAATGGGTCATATGGAAAACAAGAAATAAAATTAAATATGAGAATATAAAAATAACTGACTTTAGTATTAAAAATGCATTCAAAAATGAAATAAAATCGAATTTTTTACTATTAGAATCACATGATTTGACAAATTTCAAAATGAAAATAAATCATATGTTACAAAATTCTTTCAAATACTAGGTATAGTATTAATGACAGTATTAATTCTGTTAATGGCCATATCCGATGCCGTGTATAATAGTAAATGTATTCACATTTTTTAATCCACTATAAGGTTCTTTTTTTACTATGTTATTTTTCATGTAACTGGAAACTTTATGTTTAAAATATGTTCAAGATGAATATCATAAAATGAAGACGTAAAGCCAGATTCAAACTATATATGTGAGGAAAAAATATTCATGTTTTTTGTAAAATTCATTCATTGCAATTGTGATGTGTTTTTTTTTCTTTTTTACAATCTAATTTTATTATCACAAAACTCTACATATTGTTTATATGCTGTAAAATATAAAAAGACCCGTATTTGAGGGTGACCTGGCCCTAAATACTAGTTACAGTGAGATTGATATAGACTTTTTTTTTCTTTTTTTTTCTCCCCACAATCTCCACTGCAACAAGGGTCATACTTCTGTTGGTGTTAATCGTATACTTTGTTATTATATATAAAAATAATGCTTATATGCTTTGAGATATTTATGTATATGTACGAAAATGAAGTGTCAATAATCATATATTAGTATAATGGTAACTTTAATTATAGCAATATAAAAATGATGCTAATTTGCTTGAGATATTTAAGTATATGTATGAACATTTTGAAGTTAATCTGCTGAATAACAGAAAAAAAAACTGTTTTGAGATAAAAATCTGTTTTGGATAAATTCAAAGTGACTTGTATTTACGGCAGAATTGAATTTTAGTTACTTTAGAGGGTATACAAACCTGCTTGAAAAAAGTTCAAATAAAGAAAAAGTGTTTTTACCATGACTTTTTAAGCATATATTTTCATTATAACCCCCGCTTGAAATTTGGGAGGGTATATAGTAATCAGTATTTCCGTCCGTCCGTCTGTACCTCCGTCCGTCTGTTACGCTTTGGGGTACCCATCTCTTATCCGCAACTCCTCTCATACAACCGAAGGAAATTTAATGAAACTTTCACAGATTCTTAATTACATATTGTCATTGTGCACCTCCTATTTTACTGTTTGATCTGACGTATATTCTTGATTTTCCAGAGCAAAACATGTACACTGCCATAATATGCATATGGGAGGCGGGGGTTATCATTTAGTGAGATCATTGCTCAGAGAACCTCCAGTTTTAAACATTAACTTAAGTAAAAATACAAAAAACAACCATAATCATAAATAATAAATTTGTGTTTTATTTAACAAGTTATTGCTATCAAGTACCGATACCTTCATAAAGTTCATTTTTTTTCAAAATGGGTTGAAAGGTTTATTACATAACAGGTACAATTAACACTGATATTGAATAGCTTCAATTAAATCGGTATTATATTTTTATAGAGCTGAATTCGGGTAAGGCAATTGACATTTTACATGTCGTATATCTGTTGATTAACCATAATAAGATATTTGTAAAGAATTCTATTTCAGTGAATCATAATTGATAAAATTACTTCTTGCGATATCATGTTTAATCTGCTCAAAATGATATTTGATGGAAACCTACCTTTTTTCCCTCGTCTTCTATCTAATATAAAAAACAGATTACTTTGACCACCATAAAAACAATAAAAGGTAATTATGTAGTACATGTATGAAACCTTAAAGACTGTAAATTAAATCCTCTTGATCGTAAATTTACTATACGAAGTTCTAAGAAGATAACGCCTGACTCCTATCAAATTCTTTTCTTGATTCGCTTTTCAAGCAACAACTTTTGAATAATACTTACTTGTGAAGTTTAGAATACATAATGAAATGATGTGTAAAAATGACAAAACTGTCTTTTTTGCATGGAAATACTATCGATCAGTGTTTTTGTGCATATTATATTTTTCAAGAGCAGAGGTCTGCTGAAACATTTTACATGTCATTTTTCTTTTGATTAAGCATAAGGTATTTGTAAATAATTTTATCTAGGTGAATCATAAACAAAATTTCTTCTTGTGACATCACGTTAAACCTGTTCAGAATTATATTTAACGGAAACCCACCTTTTTCTCCACGACTTCCCACCACTAATATAAAAAAAACGATAAATTTTAACCATCATAACAACAATTAAAGTGAGTTGTGTACATATATAACATATTTAACGTAGCAATGAATACACTTTCTTCAACATTATGTCTTGATATTAAAATTACTAATTTCATAAATATTCCAGGAAGAAGAATGTCATGAGACAGGAACTTTTTGGAGTGATTAAATTAACAGTTAAGTCAATGATGATTAACAAAATTACTTCTTGCGACATCACGTTAAACCTGTTCTGAATGATATTTAAGGGAAACCTACCTCTTTGTCCTTGACTTCCCAACACTAATATATATAAAAAAACCGATAAATTTTAATCATCATAACAACAATCAAAAGGAGTTGTGTACATGTATAACATATTTGACGTTGCACTGAACACAATTTCTTCAACATTATGTCTTGATATCAAATTACTAATTTCATAATTGTTCCAGGAAGAAGAATGTCATAAGACAGGAACTGTCAATAATAATTAACAAAATTATTTCTTGCGACATCACGTTAAACCTGTTCTGAATGATATTTAAGGGAAACATACCTCTTCTTTTTCCCTGGATTCCCACTAATATAAAAAAAAAGATTAATTTTAACCATCATACAGCAATAAAAGGGAGTTGTGTACATGTATAACATATTTGACGTAGCACTTAACACACTTTCTTCAACATTATGTCTTGATATTAAAATTACTAATTTCATAGTTATTCCAGGAAGAAGAATGTCATAAAACAGGTTAAGCCTGTTCTAAATGATATTTAACGGCAACCTACCTTTTTCACCACGACGTCCCAACACTAATATAAAAAAAAACGATAAATTTTAACCATCATAACAACAATTAAAGTGAGTTGTGTACATATATAACATATTTGACGTAGCAATGAATACACTTTCTTCAACATTATGTCTTGATATAAAAGATACTTATTTAATAATTATTCCAAGAAGAAGAATGACAATGAATTTATTCTCATGAACTGACATAAGTACAGTGTTGAGACAGATTACAAGTATAGTTAAACATATGTGCATGCGTGAAATAGAAAAAAATACAAAGTAACAAAACTAACAATGAGCTAACCAGGAGAGCCAACTCTCTCAAAAATAATTTTTATAAATTTACACAGTTTTGTCAATTTAACTGTATTTTTTGTATTAAAAAGTTGACCAAACTTATACACATTTGGATGTGAATAGTAATATTTTGATAATAATAATAACCTTGAATTCAAAATAAGTGAATCATAACAATTAAATAAGTAGTGAAATTCATCACCAATTTCATTTTTGGAACACAATTTACAAATTCGGTTTTCTCTTGGTACATTATGCCATCTTCCCACTTCTATTGGTAATTTATTATTACAGGTTCTAAACTTACAAAATATTTTCCAGTACTTAAAAGGCAGAGATACTATATACTTTTCTAGACAAAATGAAGTTTTATATATTCTATAATTAAGGCCTTTAGACGAGTTAAACATTTCACTATATCACTTCTGTTTAAAATGATCACACAGAGTGTTAAACACTATTTTCTTCAGCCATGATACATTTACAGGTTGACAAGTATGCCAAATATAAGAAAGTCCACATTCATTCAATATAGATTTGACAAAGTTACACCATGGATTATTGTAGTTCTTTAAAACACTTAACAAATTCGATGATAATTTATCCCTTTGTAAAAAAGATAGTTTACACCAAAAACTTATCATTCTTACCTTTATATTAATTGAAATAGGGTATCTACCTAATTCACCATATACCATAAAATTTGGTGTTGATGACTTTACATGCAAAATATGCTTACAAAATTTTAAGTGCAATTTTTCAATCAATGGTGACTGATTAAAACCCCACACTTCACATCCATATAAAATTATAGGATTTACAATTTTGTCAAACATATCCAGTGTGCATTCTACATTAAGGTTGTGTTTTCTATATTTTACAATAACACTATACATAGCTTTTGTTGCTTTCTGAGATAATTCTTTGACATTTGTGTTAAATGAACCATTTTTACAAAAACTTACTCCTAAATATTTAAAATTATCTACGATTTCTAATGTTATTCCATTTTTCAATTCTTGGATTGCCCTTACCAAAGATTACAATTTTAGTTTTATTGGTGTTAACTTTCAGATGCCATTGTTTGCAATATTTGTTAAATACATCCATGTTAAATACTTGGTATTGTAAGTCTTCTGGTGTTTCTGACAAAAGGATCGTGTCATCTGCGTATAGCAAAACAAACAATCGAAGATACAAATTAAACTCCGATTCTAATTCAGACGTTATAAATGATAAACCTTTTACATTATTTAAATTCATGAAATCTTCAAGGTCATTTAGATAGATGGCAAACAAAAATGGGGATAGGTTTTCCCCTTGTCTAACACCTACAGTACAAGGAAAGGGATCAGAGTACAGACCATTTGAGACTACTCTTGATTTAATATTTTTATACAGCTGTGTTATAACATTAAAACATTTACCATCTATATTATTTAATAAAACTTTATTCCAAAGACCTAAACGCCAGACAGAGTCAAACGCTTTCTCAAAATCAATAAAGGCACAGTACAACCTTTTCCTATGATACTTTGATATTTCAATCAATGTATACAAAGTAAAAATTTGGTCCAAAGTAGAGTAGTTTTTTTTCTAAAACCAGCTTGATTTTCTAAAATAAGATGGACAGTATTTGCATAATAATTAAGTCTCTCATTCAGAATAGATGTAAACAATTTACCCAAACAGCTTATCAAAGTAATGGGTCTATAGTTTTAGGATCTATAGTGTCACCTTTGTTTTTATATAATGGAATAATATTTCCAAATGTCCACTGTGAAGGTATGATTCCTGAATCAAAAATCTTGTTAAATAATATTACATAAAAGTTTGACATAGTATCTATAGTAGATTTTATATATTCATTAACAATGTTGTCATGTCCACTTGACTTATCATTTTTCAGAGCATGTATACATTTTGTAATTTCTTCATGTGTGATTGGTTGATTTATGCTGTTATTGAGTTCTAAATTTGACAACAATTTTAGTTCATCTTCAGTCAAAACATGTTCGTTTTCTCCCTCTACTCCAATGTTGCAACAATCTTTATAAAAATCATATAGTTTGGATAATTCTACATTACAGCATTTATTGTTACCATCAGAGTTTAATATTTTCCAATATTCTTTTGGGTTATATGAACTTAAATATTGTAATTTCCTTTTCATATCTGTCCTATGAAAATTTCGAGCAGATTTTAATTTTTGTTTAAACAACTTTTCCTTTTCATACAAATCTTCTTTAAAAATATTACCTCAGAATCGTTTAAACAATTGTTGTGCTTTTTTAAAATTCCGTCTAGCAGATTTACAGTCTTTTGTCATGAGACAAGAACTTTTTGGAGTGATTAAATTAAACGTTAAGTCAATGATAATTAACAAAATTCTTTCTTGAGACATCACGTTAAACCTGTTCTGAATGATATTCAACGGCAACCTACCTTTTTCACCACGACTTCCCAACACTAATATAAAAAAAACGATAAATTTTAACCATCATAACAACAATTTAAGTGAGTTGTGTACATATATAACATATTTGACGTAGCACTGAATACACTTTCTTCAACATTATGTCTTGATATTAAAATTACTAATTTCATAATTATTCCAGGAAGAAAAATGTCATAAGACAGGAACTTTTTGGAGTGATTAAATTAACAGTTAAGTCAATGATAATTAACAAAATTACTTCTTGCGACGTAACGTTAAACCTGTTCAGAATTATATTTAACGGAAACATACCTCTTTTACAATGACTTTCAACTAAAATAAAAAAAAACAATTAAAAAAAAAACAAAACAAAAAAACAATCAATTATAACCATCATAGCAACAATAAAACGGAGTTGTATACATGTATAACATATTTGACGTAGCAATTAATACACTTTCTTCAACAGTATGTCTTGATATTAGAATTACTAATTTCATAATTGTTCCAGGAAGAAGAATGTCATGAGACAGGAACTTTTTGGAGTGATTAAATTAACAGTTAAGTCAATGATGATTAACAAAATTATTTCTTGCGACATCACGTTAAACCTGTTCTGAATGATATTTAAGGGAAACTTACCTTTTTGTCCATGACTTCCCAACACTAATATATAAAAAAGAATTTAACCATCATAACAACAATTAAAGGGAGTTGTGTACATGTATAAAATATTTGACGTAGCAATGAACACACTTTCTTCAACAGTATGTCTTGATATTAGAATTACTAATTTTATAATTATTCGAGGAAGAAAAATGTCATAAGACAGGAACTTTTTGGAGTGATTAAATTAACAGTTAAGTCAATGATAATTAACAAAATTACTTCTTGCGACGTAACGTTAAACCTGTTCAGAATTATATCTAACGGAAACATACCTCTTTAACTAATATAAAAAAAAATCAATTATAACCATCATAGCAACAATAAAAGTGAATTGTATACATGTATAACATATTTGACGTAGCAATTAATACACTTTCTTCAACAGTATGTCTTGATATTAGAGTTACTAATTTCATAATTGTTCCAGGAAGAAGCATGTCATGAGACAGGAACTTTTTGGAGTGATTAAATTAACAGTTAAGTCAATGATGATTAACAAAATTATTTCTTGCGACATCACGTTAAACCTGTTCTTAATGATATTTAAGGGAAACTTACCTCTTTGTCCATGACTTCTCGACACTAATATATAAAAAAAGAATTTAACCATCATAACAACAATTAAAGGGAGTTGTGTACATGTATAAAATATTTGACGTAGCAATGAATACACTTTCTTCAACAGTATGTCTTGATATTAGAATTACTAATTTCATAATTATTCCAGGAAGAAGAATGTCATAAGACAGGAACTTTTTGGAGTTATTAAATTAAGAATTAAATCAATCATATTTAACAAAATTACTTCTTGTGACATCACATTAAACCTGTTCAGAATTATATTTAACGGAAACCCACCTTTTTCACCACGACTTCCCAAAACTAATATAAAAAAACGATAAATTTTAACCATCATAACAACAATTAAACTGAATTGTGTACATATATAACATATTTGACGTTGCACTGAATACACTTTCTTCAACATTATGTCTTGATATTAAAATTACTAATTTCATAAATATTCCAGGAAGAAGAATGTCATAAGACAGGAACTTTTTGGAGTGATTAAATTAACAGTTAAGTCAATGATAATTGATAAAATTACTTCTTGCGACATTACATGTTCGTTTAACCTGTTCTGAATTATATTTAAAGGAAACCTACCTCTTTTACCGTGAATTCCCACTAATATATATATATAAAAAAAAAAAAAATCAATTTTAACCATCATAACAACAACAAAAGGGAGTTGTGTACATGTATAACATATTTGACGTAGCAATGAATACACTTTCTTCAACATTATATCTTGGTATTAAAATTATTAATTTCATAATTATTCCAGGAAGAAGATTGTCACGAGACAGAAACTTTTTAAAGTGATTTAATTAAAAGTCAAGTCAATCATAATTAACAAAATTACTTCTTGCGACGTCACGTTAAACCTGTTCAGAATAAAATATATAACTGAAACCTACCTCTTTTTCCCTGACTTCCAACTAATATAAAAAAAACAAAAAAAAGCAATCAATTATAACCATCATAACAACAAAAGGGAGTTGTGTACATGTATAGGGTATTTGACGTAGCAATCAACACACTTTCTTCAACATTATGTCTTGATTTTAAAATTATTAATTTCATAATTATTCCAGGAAGAAGAGTGTTATGAGACAGAAACTTTTTGGAGTGATTAAATTAATAGTCATATGTATTGATAGCAGAATTGTAATTTGGTAGTAATATAGGATACACAAACTGGTTTAAGAAAAAAAAAGTTTATCATATACAAAAACAAGTAAAAAGAAATTTTGAGAACAAATCTAATTACGTTTTAAAGGTTTATTGCATAAAAAATGATATTGAATAGCTTTTATCAATGTTTACGGGTTGTAATTTACACTTCTTTATTGAAAAGTTACCATTCTGTTTAAAATTTCCCTCTAGAATGAAGAAGAAAAAAAACAGCACTGACTTTGAAAAACATAAAAATAAAGAAATTTCGTATTACAATCCTAAAAGAAATTACAAAATTAATATATGCATTATATTTTCTTGTGTTTATTAACTGTTGCAATTAACAAACTTGCCCTTATTTTATTATTTTTTTTTTGGCTTTCAATTTTGAAAAATGCAGATTAAAATAATTCTACAATTCATTCCTGATTTTGATTTTTCCGAATAAATTATTGCATTTTACAGAAAACTGCTTTAATCTTTTTTTTCCTAAAAAAAAGATATTTACCATCATAAAGGCAACGATAAGTAAATTCAGAAAAATGTCTCAAATAAAGAAAAAAAATGTTGGCATAACCTTCTGAAGGTGTTAGAACAGTTTCGTTGATATTGACTCAAACTAAACGCTTCATTATCAATAGCACTTATTTTATACGGTTTAAAAAAAGGTAAAAGTCGTGTGACAGTAATCTATTTTAGTGAAATTCAGTCAAGTTTATATCACGGAATGAAATATGGAAATAGTGATCAAGATCAGATCAAAATTCCATAAAAAAAATACAAAACAGGGGAAGAGCAATCACATCAGAGACAAGGATTAGGTTCCTTGGAAGAAAGATCATCCCCGGCCAAAGGGCACGTTTGAAAAATCGCAAATGAAAAAAATATATCATTTAAGGAATGAAACTTATTGTAAGTTATGCGATATAACATAAATTTGGGGCAGTTTACGCTTTAAAAACCGCGAAGCGCTTTTTTAAAAAAAGTACTGCGTTCCTATTTCAATTGTTAAATTTTAATTTTACAGTTCCGTCTGCATTGTGAATGTTGTGATTCATATGTAGTAATGTTCAGTAAATATAGAGATAATTAATTCGTTTTCAAGATTTCAACAGGGGCATTTTACAGATAGATTTTTGTTTCTAGAGTTTATGTAATAGCTTTCAATTAACTTTTGAGAGCATGCCATTACAATAAAACTATTATTTTATTGCTTTAATCGGAAATAATTTTATCCTATGGTATTTTAAACAATTTTGTATATTTGTCATATTTCCAAGAAGAATATGGAGATAACGAAAAGTGCTCAATCTCAAAGTCCATAAAACAAAACAAAATAGGAGCAGAGCAAACGGGGACCTCCAAAACATCAGAGATGGGATCAGGTGCCATGAAGGAGTTAACATCCCCTGCTGATCGGTCACAACCGCCGTGTGCTCCTTGTCAAAATTAGACCCCACCTCTTTCGTATCATTTACTGTAATGCATTTACGTTACAGTTTCTTTGAATTAGACAAAAGTCTTTTGTAAGTAACCTACGTAAAAACGATTTGCGTTGAATTTGAATAGCTCGTGTGCAATGCAATCTGAATTTTAAATCCAAGAGATCGATCTTAGAAAAGTAAATCATACTTTTTTTCTATCGAATAATAACAATAATAAAAAAATTGAAAAATAATGTTCTTGTTGTTTTAAAATTACATTTTAGAGAAACTTACCTCATTCCATATGTTTTGAAACACCTCTGACTAAAAAATGAAATAATTCAAATGCATAGAGCTAGGTCTGTCATTATTTAGGTGAAACAGTTATGTAATAAGTAGAATTTAAAACGTTTTTTTCTTAGTAGATTCAATAACATGCTTTACAAATTCATATTGTATTGAACAATTTTGCTGACATTGTCTCAAATCAAATATTATGTTTCATTAGTGTTCATTTTCCTACATTTTCCCAGCAAGAAGAATTTAAAGCGACAGAAATATATTTTCGGTGATGAAGGATATGAAGATAAGGAACAGCATTCAATATTAAAGTCTTAAAAACATTACAAAATAGGAACAGAGCAAACACGTTCATCTAAAACATCAGAGATGCCATGGAGGAGTGCTTTAAAGGAGTGAGCATCCCAAACGCAGAGTCACCAATTTTGAAGCAATATTTTACAGTTTTAAAATTATTGAATACCGATACTTGTGCGAAAAAGCGCAACTGAAAAATGAGAATGTTGTTTTATTAAATTTTTACTATTGAAAACAGTTATACATCTTAAAGCTTAATTTCCGTAATGTTTCTGTGGAGCAATGAAGATAGATCTAAATCTTTATTTCTGCTTCAACAAGTACTTTTACAAAATGAGGTTGTAACGTAAATCACACCCGCCTCATATATAGAAAAGATCGTAATTATTGTTTCCTTCTCATATCGAAACCTTCAATGATAACGAAGTACACATAAAATATAATATACCTACCATTATGTAAAACTCACGATTCGAAAGAATAGGTTGTGTTCAATGAGATTACCACGTTTGTCTGGAAAGTCAAACTTCCGAGAAATTTATCTGAGATGCCCAAATCATGCATGTATCACATCCACTGTAATATCTGTATATATTAAACATAAAGTTAGCTTTTAATCAATTTCTTTGATGTCAATCTTAGTTCATGTTCATATTTAACAGGAGTTTAATGAGCACATTTTTTATGAGTAGACATCCCATTTAAATTCTATACAGACCTCTAGGCAGATTTTCCAATGATAGAATATTTTTAACATGTTTTATTTTCATATGAATTTATGTCAATGTCAGAAGTCTTGGTCTGGTTCTCGGTTTCTTTAATGTAAACAAACATTTTCAAAACATGTTTGTTTTTCTTTTAGAAGAGTTTTCTTATTGAACAAAGATAAAATGTTTTACATTAAATCATTATTATATTATTATAATATCAAACATATTTTTGACTGATACATGTACCTAAATAAGCTTTTTATGGGCGTATCGAACAATATTCAATATCAAAGTTCATAAAACAATACAAAAGAGGTGTAGAGCAAACACGGACCTCCGAAACATGAGCTGGGATCAGATACCATGGAGGAGTGAGCTTCCCCTACCTACCGGTCACACCCGCCGTGTGCTCCTTGTCATGATCAGGAAATAAAGGAAAAATCCGTCGTTAATTCAGTGTATAAATAATGGACTAAAAATTGGTATGAAAAACGCCAGTCACTATTTGACTCAATGATAAATTGTTTTTGCTGACAAGATCATTATATCGACCATAGAACTTACGAAATGATGCCTTTAAACGAGACTGCTGATAATCTTGTTTCATGCAACAATTTCTATTTTACTCACCTTGATAACATGCAAGGTGTTTGGAAGTCTTAGAAAAGGCCTTACAAAAGTTGACTTTTGTACTCTAAAAAAGGAGGAAAAATAATACAGTTTTAAAGAAATAAGATCTTCTTAAATTCAGACTAATATGCCAATGCTTATTAGCATGTTATCGAATAAGAAGTGATTTGTGGTGTCTTGCAATGATAGCGAAAGCCTTTTACACTAGGAATCATAAAATACATGACGGAAATAGAAGGCAATTAATATCAAATAAGTATAAAATCATGACAATGTCTTTGAATATACATATCGTTTTTAACCTAAAATATATTTGTCGATCAATTTGAAATCAGAAAATGCATTGCTGATATTCAAATTTGCTTTTTCTGCAAACATATTTATGATATGACAATTTTTCTTACATAATATGATTAACTTTAATCTTTAACTTGAAAGAAATATTGTGGATAAATTTACATAATTTTGTGGATTCAGGATACTTTTATGAGTATTTTGATTACTTACGGGTAATTTTATAAACCTGAGGATCGGAATACCTTAAATTAAATAAAATGCCATAACTCTTGGATGAATTTTTCGCCTGATGAATTTTTAATGCCAGCAAATGAAAATATTTGAGCACAAAAATATCAAATAATTGAACAAACGGAATAATTTAAATATTTCTTCGTTGTCATGAATTTTAATGTGTCATCTATGCAAGATGAAACAAGACTATGTTTTTTCCCATAATTTTTTTAAACAAAAGTTTTTGAAAGAAACACATTATGAGTAAGACAAAACCACAGTACAAATAGCTAAATGCTCTGTAGCACCTAAAGAAGAGCATTTACCCCCATTTCTTTGTTTTAAATTTTAATGAAACTATGTGTGTAAACTCTGAAATTTTATAAGATAAAAAATTATTATTACTTTTCATGGCAGGAACCAACGTCCTTAATTTAAATCTCTAGGTTTTTGCTCTATTTTACAGAAAATATTACTACAGGTATTATTTAGTAAACTATGTTTTTTAAAACTAAATTTGACCAGCTTCGCTATCCGAACTTTGCCTATATAATATCTGGATAAGTTTCGAATAAATCTTGATATTTAAAAAAAAAGAATGCCATATTTGTAAATCATCTGGATTCATTGTTAAAATATCTCTTAAAAATTTGGATGACATATGACGCTAGATAAAAATAAGATATGACAGAAGTCCACGAACTTTTCGAATAACCCTCCTGTATGTATGCTTGTTCATCTGATCTTTCAAATGATTATAATACTGACTCATAATGTATTTGATAAGACCAACCCTTCTTACTGAGAGAGGGTATACTGAATTGGTCTCAAATCATAGCTTTAATCAATCTATTGAAAATGTCCTTTTACCCATAAACAAAAATGCTTGAACTTGTTGTGATGATAATTTAAGGAAAAAAGTCATCAAAAATTGTTATATTCGTGCTTATCGGGGATTGAATTATTATAGAAGGCGGAATTTCACAATTGAAAGAAGTTTAATATTATTAAATGAATAATGCAATGGCTTTGATAATTGAATTATTTGCTCATTAATAATTATCAGGCAACAAGTTTTCATAGCAATGACAAGTGCTAAATTCATTAATATTCTTCTATTGCGTAAGAAATAAAGAATCTAGCAGGCAAACAAATAATGTAATACAAATTGTAAGACATTCATTGAAAACATATTTTCAAGTATGTGTGCTCAGTCCAGAGTTTGTTTCCTATGATACAATCTGGTCATATCATAAGACTGAATTAGATCGTTTAAAGTATTATTTTTCTGTAACAGTGTATTATAAGTATATATGTTGCAGAACTATGTTGGAAAATGATAATCATTGAGATCTATACAAAGACCAGGAGGTATAAATTTCTGATGAAACAGATGTTGACATTATTTCAAAGCCACTTGTATGCCGTGATCAGGATTTTGAAAGAATAAAACAAAAAAGAAACAAGATTTTTTAGTGTCAGAAATTAAATTCCTTACAGTAGATTGTCAAAGAAGGAAAGTATAGATTATTTTGTCAGCTTTAAAATGCGACGATTTTTAATGAAAATTTAATTAGAAGAGCCCGCTTAGTAAAAAATATCGTGAAAAATGAAGCATTTTAGGATTAGCTCCTCTAAAATATTAAGTAGGCTGGTTCAGCGATTGTTAGGCAAGGTACTCCACCAGGATTTTTTACTCATCTGTCCTTATAAATTCTACATTGATCGATCTTGCATTGTATTCAACAGCACATTTGTCCCCAGCCAATAGATGTTTCCTACCTCCATCGCAAAAGTTAAGTAATCGCGATATCAAGTATTGGCATTGTACTTCACCCTCAACCTCAATTAATCAAAACATGATTCTAAAACAAAGAAAAGGGTGTAAAGGAGAAGTAAACATACGCATTTATTAAATGATAAGGAATGTTGGTGCTCTCTGATTGGTCTAGACGCCATTTACTGGTGTGTACCTCAGAGTGAATTCACCTCATATGACGTTCTGGGAGGTTTATTCGGGTTTTCCCTCTCGATCAACCATAGATTTGCTTACAGCTTTTTCGACCAATCAGACTGCGTGTTTCAAGGCATGTGTCGGTGAGAATGTAAACATGTCAGACGCCATTACCAAGAAGATTACGAACTTTTGAAAGTAAATTGTTGAGTATTTATTGTTTATTAATATTGATTAACTTTGTGAAATCCGGTAATCTGATTGGTCAATACGAAGTACTTATTTTTTAATAACGACCGCTGAAAGCGAATAATGACTCGCACGAGCTGCCTCGTTTTCACTTTCGCTTAAGCAAACATGGAAGTTCGCAAGTTGTAGGTGAGGAAAATTTTTCAACATCTAGGCCTAGTGAAGAACTCTGAGACTGATAATACAAAAAAATTACTAGGATATTTGTGAATATTTTTCGGGAATAATTAGCACATACCATTTCAAGGTTGATTCGACCTTTCTAATCAGCCAGCAGAGTTTTGACGCTGTTTATGCGATTACGGAGATTAAAGAAAATATAGACGTCAAGCATACCATGTAAGATTGTATCTATTCTTATAAGACATAAGTATTTATATTTTGTCAGTGCATTTCGTCTGCAAGTGTAAACGAGAGCGATTCTCAATCTGGAGAGGGGGTACTCTGTTATTCGGAGAAAGATATCTTGCGTCATTATTATGATATGCCATATATTGCCAAAACAATTTCCTCTGAGTAATATTCAATGAATTCTGAAACATTTACATTCAACTTATTTGTGGTTAATACTATCTCTGTAAATAATAGGATGATATACATTGCATTTATAAATTTGGGAAACTATTATTTATATAATATAATAAATATGGACTCAATGCACGGTCAATATGCATTTATAATGATCCAGAGTGACAGATATTGACCTCAGATACATGGAGCATATCGACCTCGGGCTAGCGCCCTCGGTCGATATACTCCATGTATCTTCGGTCAATATCTGTCATCCTGGGTCATTATAAATGCATATTGACCTGCATTGAGTCCATATTTGTATAATATTGTTTTTTACTTTAACACTAATATTTGTTAAGCTGTTGAAGTATATCAACATGTAAAAAGTGTAATTACACTTTACATTATGGATGTTTATATTTGATGGAGACAAGAATGAAAGAGTCAGCAGTGTTGTAAAATTCCTCATAATTTAATAAAACGGTTATTGACTTTTGAATTCGGTCTACTCGTGACTATACAGACCTGGTCAGGTATTGGTTAACCTCGGCCTTCGGCCTCGGTCAACCAATACCTGACCAGGTCTGTATAGTCATGAGTAGACCTCATCAAAAGTCAATAATTGTATAGAATTAAAAAATGAAAAATCGTACAAAATTATAATGATATTGCTTTGTTAATAATCTATAAAATATCAAGCGGTATGATACAAAGTATTTAGGAGCAAAGAGTGGAATTTTTAAAACTGTATATTAAAAGGCTGGTCCCCCGACTTTTCACTACGGTAAAGTGACATATTGGGAATTAACCCAGCAGGCATTTCAACGTTGATTCAACGTTGAATCAACGTTGTACTTCAACGTTGAATCAACGTTGAATTTTGGTTGCATATGAAAGTTGAGGCAACGTTGAAACATAACGTTGTTTCAACGTCAATTTTCAACGTTGAATCAACGTTGAAAATAGGTTGAATTTTTGGTTGATTTATGGTTGATTTTTGGTTGCAAATGAAAGTTGATGCAATGTTGAAGCTTCAACGTTGTTTCAACGTCAAATATCAACATTGAACAAAAGTAAACATTGGTTGTAATTAGGTTGAGATTTGGTTGAAATTTTTTGGTTGTACAAACGTTGATATTTGGTTGAAATCACGTTGAAGTCATATTACATGTGAACGTTTTACTTTATAAATAAATACATTTCAAATTCTAATAATTTTTTTATTCATATAGTTGCGTAATATTTATATAAGTAATAATCCAGTATTACGATTGTGAGAGAATTCATTTTAGTTGTATTTTAAAGACAAACACAAATTTGGATTCATTCACTGAATTCTAAAAAATCACTGCTTGATAAAATTTATATTCCTAGTGAAAAGGGGGTCACAGTTATCACATCAAGGTTCTTCAAAGTACGAGGGCCGTTCAAAAATTACGCGGACTAGTTGCACAGAAAAAATATTTGACGACCTAATCGGGCAAAATGTCACACATAATATTAAAGAATCTTTACTTATATGGTCTTCAAAATTTCACATAAAAAGTTGTAAATTGGTATCAATTTTGAGTGATTTTTCAGGACATATCATTAAGTTACGGAGCAGCAAAATATTCGACGTCACCGGCATAATAAAAAAATAGGTGATTGATCTCTCATTTTCTCAAAATTTTCCCAAGAGTACCTGTACAGTTTGAGTTACTTTATCTACTCAACATCCAAACACCATTTCTTGTCAAGCTTATAAATCGATTGAACAAATAGAGAATGTTCATTTTTGTTTTAGAACCACAAACTTCAGGTATTTATGAGATATATTGTAATATTAGTGACTCTCATTCACGTTCTTTATTGTCCGCGGATAAAGTTTTCGTCGAAAATATTCTTCCCGTCCTCCCGTATAGCCTTTTTACAAAGGTCTAACAGTCTATAATTTCAAATTGCTATTTGTGGCCGAATGTTACGAATACCATAGTTTACTACATGTTTGATTATGCATATTTTGGATCCATCTTGTCGATATCACGAGCATTATACATAATTTTACAATAGTGTGATGCGCCGTCATTTCAGGAGACGTCATTTTCACAGTTTTCACGGGAATCGCATCAGAGAAAAATCACTATATTTCTCTAAATACTTCAAATATCACGTTAGAAATCTAAAAACATAATAATAGAACAATTTAAAGATACATTTGAGAAAATTGTCGAAAAATATCGCGAATTATATAGAAAATAAATGAGTTAAATTTTGGACTCTGCATGCTTTTGCTTTAATTTTTTTGTCGTGCTCCGTACCTCACCATCAGCGATATCAACATACCGATAATTTTCGTAAAAAATTTTTAAAATACAAAAATTTTGCTCAAAATTTATTAGAATCTTTAAGATACATATTTCTGTGAACTTTCATAACTATATGACGTCTGTAAGGGTAAATAATAGCCCAGTCCGCGTAATTTTTGAACGGCCCTCGTACGCGTCTGTCTTACACTACTAAGTTCCACAAAGTGGCGGATGCATTGATTTTAATCACGCATATACATCTGTAGTTAAGTCCTACGAATGAAAGAAATGAACAGGAGAATCCACCCTCTAGAGCAACAGCCTAACAATAAAAGAAATAAAGATGTGAAAGAAATTTCTTCGATACAACGTATGTAACACGTTATTTCAAACGATAAAAATAAATATACATAATTAATTTTAAAAATCACACAAAGGAATATTTTCCGGTACTTGGATTTAATTAACATGATTAAAAAGAATTATAGTTAACATCATATTAAAATTTGTATTAGTATGCCTAAAAAAATATTACTGAAGAAAATGTTATAGACAAATTGTACTTACAAAATGTTGCATTCCTTTGTATAATTTTCACGGGTGAAGAATCTGATGCAATCAAGGCTGACTATATCCAATCAATTCCCTCACCACTGGCTGAACCATACGATGAACTAAAATTAATTAAATTGTATAATATATTAGTATACTTATATTTCATAACCAAATGAATATCAACAATACACATAATACACGAACAAAGGAAGTGCATTTCACGTAGATTTCACATATACTTATAAAACAAGAATTAAATGATGTACAGATACTAAATAAACTTAATTTCTTAAATCCATGAAAAGGAAATAATACTTACTGAGCAGAAGTTGATATTACAGCCTTAATCCTTGTGTATGTATCTTAAAAACACATTAAATATGAACAGCGCGCACTTCTTGTCCATCAGTTGAATTCAAATTTTGACCTAGATAAGCTGCAGCTATACTCTGCCCAGCAAGAAAATTGCATAACAAGGTTATCCTGACACTGAAACTGACCAACTAAGTGAGAGGCACTCCTTATCTGATATCTGAAAGGTTTTTGGGGAGTGGATCTTAAGTAATGCTATTTGACCGGGGTTAATTGTCAGTGTGAAAATTTGAATTTTTCTTTTATATATTTTGTGAAAAGAAAGATTATAGAATTAATACACACAACAAAAGCACAATCTGATAAAATAAGACTTCTAAGATTCGCTCTGTATAACATTTTGCGCATGAGTATACGGCACGGATCTATATGAGTCTAATTTTATGAACATTAATTCGGAATAAATAATTATTTTTATTAATTCTAAAGTAACATGGAATTACAGTGAGATGTTGGATAAAGATATCATTATTTGTTTAATGCTTATATTTAACATATTTCATAAATATGTATTTAAAAAAAACTACATTCACAATTTATTAAATTTCACAATGGTACTAGCTGAACTGGCACAACTCTTTTGAGTAAATCAATTCATAATGCATGTGTTTCATTTATTATGTATAATTATATATATAATATTTTCTAACAATGCATACAGCCATGTGTATCTTGCGAAAAATCGCATAAATTAAGAGTTAAAGACACCTTTATATTTTGATCTTAAAAACTAAAATGCTCAATACTCATTACCCGTTCTTTTCTTAACTTTCTTAAAGTTGAAAATATGTTGGATCTTCCACGTTGTTTCAACGTTGAAATCAACAAACAGTCAACTTTGCATTTTTAAGCCTTGTTTCAATTCTATAATATCAGAAAATACTCAACGTTGAAAACATGTTGAATCTTCAACATTGTTTCAACATTGAAATATCAATAAACTTCAAAAGTTGAAAATTTGTTGCAGCTTCAATGTTGTTTCAAGGTTGAATATCGACAAGCATTCAACGTTGAAAATATGTTGCAGCTTCAACGTTGAAATATCAACGAACATGAAAAGTTGAGAATATGTTGCAGCTTCAACGTTGTTTCAACGTTGAAATATCAACGATCATTCAACGTTGAAAATATGTTGCAGCTTCAACGTTGTTTCAACGTTGAAATATCGACGAACATTCAACGTTGAAAATATCTTGCAGCTTCAACGTTGTTTCAACGTTGAAATATCGACGAACATTCAACGTTGAAAATATGTTGCAGCTTCAACGTTGTTTCAACGTTGAAATATCGACGAACATTCAACGTTGAAAATATGTTGCAGCTTCAACGTTGTTTCAACGTTGAAAAAGGGTTGAGGATTCAACATTGAAACCTCAGCGTTGAAACAACGTTGAAATATAGTTGATCAACGTTGCAACCTATATTCCACCTCCTTTCAACGTTGAAGCAACGTTGCGTGCCTGCTGGGAAGTATTGTTTGCCCAAAAAAATTGTACTGAAAGAAGCCGGCATATTAAAAGACTTGTCCTCTACCTCTACCCCCCCCCCCCCCCCCCCGAAATAGGATTTTCGAGTTTGGGCAATGTTCTTTTTTGGCTTGTCAACTTTTCCAGGCAAATAGAAAACATTCTTTGGCTACCCCCCCCCCTTCCACTTCCAAAAACGATGATACATGCCTGTTAGGAATGTAGACAAAATAAAATAACAAAATAAGGTAAATCCTTTTCTAAATTCTTCTGAATTCATCACATTTCATTTTATTTCTTGTTTTTACTGTACACTTACTTAATAATAAAACGGTGAAATATCCAATGCGTTTAAAAATAAACACAATGAAAAACACAATTGTGTAAAACGAAAGTAAATAGATTATGAATAGATTATGAATAAAGGACATACATGTAGCACAAAGTGACATTTTTGTGAGAATTTTTTTCTATAAGTTCATTATTATTATTCCTATCAAAATGAATTATAGACTGTATATTAGAGCTGAGTTTACGTGATACATATATATAGAGTTAATAACACGAACGATGAAGAAAATTTTGGAATACACACATAATACTATATTTAAAACATGTATGTCCACAGTATTTCAAATAAACTGAAGTAATTAATATTATTTAGGAATAAATTTTACCACATATAAAAATATATCATCAAATTTTAAAATGTAACAAAACTCTGTATTCAGTTATCAAATCTTTTTTTTATTTAAATGTTGATAATTAGTTAGTTGAAGAAAACAAAAACTGGCTTACCTTTACATGCGAACTGTATGTCTCTATAGTGAAAATCGCTGAAAAACGTGATGTTGTCTTAAGGCAAAGTAAACGATAACTATGACCCGGAAAATGTCTGACGACGATCCTAAAAATAGGATGCCTTTGTGTTTAATGAATGCCGTACGGCAAACGATATATTTTTAAAGAGGGAAAATCCATATGTTATTTTAGGATTAAATGCATGTGTTTAAATGACATTTCTTTAAAATATTTCACTGTGCGCTTTTTTACCAATAAGAAACAGTATTTTATGTTTTACATATTGAATAATTTTATTAATTAAGGAATTTATATCGGTATTCAGGGTCATGAACCCTATGCTCACTCATCTGAAATTTTTCTTTAACTTTTATGATTTTCCAAAGCAAATGTATATTCTGAATAAAATACAAACAATTATAGCATGGCTAGCATTTTCAAAAAAGTCTCCAATTTTGTGATGTATACAATTTTATATATTCATTTTACATGTAATATCATCGATTAAAAGAAAAATGAAAAATTATATTACATGTGTAACACTATAAAAAATTAGGCGTTTACAGGTCATTACATGTACATCTCCTGGACACCTTATCCTACTTCTGTAATGCCATGCGGAACGTGTTTTATACCATGCTCACAAATCTGTATTGCTTGATTTTTTAAAATTAATCACTGTTTACTAAATCATTTTCATTTTCTTCATCAAAAACTATTCAAGTTGTCTTAGTCATGAAGGACTTGGAAATAAAGAACAATATTCAAAATCAAAAAACACACAAAAAAAATAAAAAATAGGAGCAGAGCAATCACAGACACTTAAAACATTTGAAGTCGGATCAGATGCCATGGAGGATCGAGTGAGTTTCTCCTAAGGGATTTTTTTAATTAAAGGTGAGTATCTCACCTGACAGGTGAGATACACAATAACAAAAGGTAGATATGAAGTCTACACATCAAGGTCTTTCAGATGGCATCTTTCATTTTCCTGAAAATTGAATATTTGGCGGGCGCCAAAATGCAACTTTTGAAGTTGCATAATTATCCGGCACAGTGTTTTATATATCTGGTTTAAAAATTGGGTATTTAAAGTAAAATTCTAAAAATCAAAATGTTCACGTTTATTTGAAATTTTAAAACATTTTAATCAAAATTTCAAATTTCTAGAAACCTAAAACGTTTCAAAGTTGGATTTTAGAAGTTTGAAGCTAATTTAAAATAATCCAAAGATGAAAAATATTATCAAACTTTAGATTGTTTAGTGTAAATTAAACTTTCTAAACAAACGGTAGACTAAAAAACAAACGTTTAAATTCCAAAAATCGTTTTCGGATAATTTTTTTTTTGAACATTTAAGGTAAAAATCTGAAATATTAATATTCGAAAAGGTGTTTGGAAACTTGTAATTTTAGATTTTTAAACTAAAATATCAAATGTCAATATACGAAATTAGTTTGAGTGTTTTAAAGTTAGATATCTGATTCATTGTATTAACATTCCAAAAATCTAAATCGTTTTAGAAATCTGAATTGTTAAGTGTTACAGGGACCCTTTCTATCTATTCAGCTGTACGATGAAATAAAAATGGCCTTTGACCGTTTAACTTCCCATAGAATATTACAACGCACTCTTTACGTTCACTTAAATTTGTACTACATGTACCATAAAATGTCGTGATTAACGTAATTATCTCATTGTGACGTCACAAACAAAGGGAATATTTTTGTTAAGCATATGCTATTTAAAGACCTTTTGTATGGTTATGTGTTTTACCGAATTTCATTCTTTTCTGAATTGTGGTTTGTAGATTTTGAGATAGTTTGCGAACTTTTTGATCACCTCTCGTAGCTTGGGAAATGCGGGATTATGGTTTTGATTCGTGAGAGATAATAAAAATTGTCTCATATTACGTTTGTTCTCTATCTATTTTCATTTCATTTTATTTTTGAGGTAAATGCATTCTGAGAAGCGTCATGAAAAATCAGTTTGAGGTTAAGAATATAACATTCCACAATATTTGATGTCAAGAAGAGTATCATAATATGAACTTTCCGAGAAACACTCTTAGGTTAAAAGTAAAATTTCACTAAATCAGATCTAGATAAGGTTACTTATTAAGTTTTAAATGTATGAGTTTCACTTTTAATGGTTTTCTAAACTACAGAGAAATAGAAATATAAATTAAATATGCATTCCAATAATCTTTTTTTACTAAAATAAACCTTATCTTCACTTCATATCTAAATATTTATCAATGTATTCTAGAAGAGGTGAAATTCATGTGACAGTTTAAACTTTAAAGGAGTTTAAACAATTTGTATCCTAAACATTAAACAAAAATCAATAATATGAAAGGACACGAATTTTCTACACTGTATTTAATCATTCACCGTGATATAATTAGGGTGAATTCACCATGCATCGGACACCCTTGTACTTCAGCAAGTTCTAGCGATATCACTACCGAGAGATAACAAACAGTACTCAAGATCAAAAGTACATAAACAAATAGGGGAGGAACAAAACAGAGCTTTTAATATCATGTTCAGAATATTTTTTTAACAAAATAATCATGCAAATGACCAATGACCAGAAAAGTAAATTGACGAGTTCGATTTTTATTGAAAAAGCAGCTGTTAATAACATAAAAGTGCACATCTCCAACTTCAAAAAATCTAAAATTTGTAATTTTTTTTTTATTATTGCATCTTATGTACAATTCTTAATCATATTATTCACAAACAATTTGATTCACCAAAAATATCATCAATCTCATTTTCTAAAGCTTTTTGGTCCATACAATGACCTTGTCAGGAAATACAGTTTATCATTGAGTGAATTGCTGACTGACTTTTTTCACACAAGTTGTAAGACCATTTTTCTCATACAGAATTGTAGTCGGAAAATTCATTTTATTTATCTACATTATGAATTTAATGTACATGTATGTTTGCACACAAAAAGACCATTTATTGATTTCTTATCAGGAAAAGCAATTGTATTTAAAGATAAATGCACATAAATTCAATTGAATTTAACTTCATTGTTATTGTAAATAAAACAAAAAAATTATCTTGTTGTTTTCAAATCTTAATATAAATATGGTTGTCATTAGAGTAATATTCGAGTTGTCTATAAACATTCGTGGACAAAGTCATTTTTGCTAAAAGGAATGTTTCAAGATATGCTTATTGTATGTCAGATTAAAGGAAGGATATAGAGATAAATACAAATAATATGATGTTATCTATGAGATTACTGTTTTCATCAGAGCAAAATTTCCATAATCATTGATATAACAATTTTCGTGAAAACAAACATAGATTCGTCCATGGTATAAATAATCAGTGACAAAACGCACCACAATCATCACAATATTGACAACCTCAGTTGTCGCCACATTGAACGTCACCTCAATCACAATTACTACAGTCATCGCAATCCCAGCAACCACCACAGTCGAAATCCACCATTGTTAACTTCTATCAACTACCACTCAACCATCTGTTTAATAAAACAGCAATTTAATTTCCCCTTTTTTCCACTGGTTAATAAATTTCCAAGTGAACCTTTTTGCAATATTATTAATTTAATAATTAATTTAATGTCTACTATTGCATCGAGAGGACATACCAGTTTGGCTTAGTTATATATTATTTCCCCACTTTTACAATGCAAGAGATATGAAATCGATGTGTTTTTTCATTCAAATTGAGTTATAAAAATCAATTCCCAATTTTAATTGCTACATTCAGATTATACAATATAGGGGCAAACTATATGCATGTCAACATATCAATTTTTTTCACTTAAACAAAACAGATTTTTTCTCCGTGGAGAAAACACGTATTATATGATAAGACCTCAATACCCTGTTTCCAAACAAATGTTGCTCAAAAGTTATTTAGAAAATTCCTCATAATGGAATATATATATGTATCTTTGAAGAAGAAGGTAAAAGCATCTAATTGCAAATATAACATCGAACTATATAAACCGAAACCTGAAAAATCGTATTTCCTTGTGAAAAAAAATAATGAGAATTTCAAACTCATAGGATCTTAGTAAAATAACGCATCTATGTTAGCAGATCAATGAATTAGATTATGATTTCAATGTAAATATAACGATTATCTAGTTTTATTTATCACAGTGACGTCATAAATTGTTTTAACAAAATTGTCAATATAAACAGAAACAGTTCATTGAACTTTTCGTTAATGCTATAGGTCAATCTCCCTACCTATAAGAATGTGTGTTAAAGTTTCTTCTCTTTTGTAAAAAGAAGAAAGAAAAAAACAGCTTTAAAACATTTTATCCTTGATATGTATAGAGGAGGTCCAGATTACAGGTGTTTACTGTCGTTATAAAACCTTCACATGGGAATTCTTGAATTTAAAATCTACCTTCAATTTATATCAGTAATGCGTTTTCTAGACCAGGAATTTAATTTTCATAAAACAAGATAAACTTTTATATAGGTAGAAGAAGGATATGGAGATAACGAACAGTATTCAATATCATTTGACTCAATGATAAATTGTATTTGCTGACAAGGTCATTGTATCGACCATAGAACTTGCGAAATGATGACTTTTAAGTAAACTGGTGAAGTCCTTGTTTCAACAACTTGCTTGTCAATAATTTATGTCGTTTTAGTAATTGTTCATACGTAGAACATGCTCTTTCGTATCGAATCAACTGAGATATGTATTGACGGTGATATATATTCACGTGATGTTTCAAACTAATTGCTAGTCTATTATTTAAACACTGAAGTGACGACGGATTTTTCCGTTAGGACAAGGAGCACACGGCAGGTGTGATCAGTCAGGTGGAGATGCTCATTCCTCTCTGGCACCTGATCCCAATTCTGATGTTTTGGAGGCGCATGTTTGCTCTGTTCTGTTCCGTTTCGTATTGTTTTATAAACTTAAATAATGTTCGTTTTCTCCATATCCTTCATTACGTCTCCTATTGATGTCTTAAGGAAAATACATTTTATGAAAGTTATAGTAAAATCTCTCCTTATTTTCCAAAATTAGGTATGCTTTATGAAATATAACTTAATTT